AAAATCAATGAGTGCTTGATTTGCTTCTCCATTTCTATATAATCTTGAAAGAATCTTCTTCAGGTGGATATTTGATGCAACAGTACTTCATGTGAGTTTGATGAAAAACTCCCTCTGACCATCTGTTCCAAACAAATATAATCCGAACTCCATTTACACCAGCTATGTAACAGAGGACGACTTTATTTCTTGCAGATAGCCCTTCCTGTGCTGAAGGCAGCTGCTTGGTGCTGCCTGGGGAGCCACCAGGCAGAATCCCAAGCGGGGAGGCTGCGAATGCAGCTGCACAGCATCTGGCTCCCTCTTGTGCTCCCCAGATTTATGGCACTGCGGTTTAGCATTCCTGTCACTGCTTTGCTACTTCCCCTCCCAGCAGTCGTGAGGAAAAAGTCATTTTGGACGAAGTCCAGCCTAAACAACCTGCTGGGGGAGATGGCACCTGCTTAAGTCCGGCCTGCGGACGAATGCCCGTGAAGCAGGTAGCACTAGTAGCTGTTAGTCAAGACCTCACCTGATATAGCCCATCTCCATTTACCACACTTGAACCTGCCAGGAAATATCGAGCTGTTTCAGGAGCACATCTAAGGCATAGGGTATGTAGTTCCATATGGACTATATGCAGCCTGCTGCTTATAGCTTGATCAGGGATGAGTTGTGACTGTCAGCTGTAGCTCTTACCTTGGAGAAAATGCCTGGGGATTTTTTTTGAAGTATTTCAGTCCAAGCAATAGCTTTGCCATCTGTACTTACTGCTGTCAAGATGGGGTGCGTTTTCTACTCAGTGGTGTAATGAATTAAAGGAGTATGAAATGCAATTTGCTGCTTTCATGAGTTAATGCCCGTTTCTTCTTATCCTTGTAGCTGGACAGGTCTAGGAGAGGATGTGACCCTGGATACTTTTGAACTTTCTGTGAAAATGTAAAGCTGAATACACTGAGTTGGTTGCCTTGGGGGACCCCCTTCCCTGTGGCCTTCCCGCTGTTTTTCCTGCTTCAGTGTCTCATCTGTCCATTCCTGCCTCCCTCAGTTCCCTCCTCAACCCTTGGTCTCTGCTTCTGCAGCACAAAATATGAAAAACTATTTTCTGGACCTCACTCCTTTTTGGTTTTGAATCAAATCCTCATCTTGTATTTCTAGAACAAGAAGCCTGAGATGATTTCTTGATATTTGACCTGAACAAAGAAAATCAAACTTTGTTTTTCCAGTATTTTATACAGCATTTTTTTTGTAACATACTTACAGCTGATCCTGATCTATACTGCTACTATTACAAAAGTAGCAGCAGTAAGGAGGGGGGAAATTCACCTGAAAAAATGATTTAAATGGAATGTCCCGGCAGCAATGGTTGCTGCCATTAGAGGTAATATTTCATCTTAACTGAGTTACTTTCAGATTCTTTTTTTTTTTTTTTTAAAGCTCATTACTGGGTATCAAGAGACAAAGAAAAGCTGTGTTAGGCTAAGCAGAAAAAGGGACTTGTTTTCTGGCAGACATTCTGCAGTTCCTTGTTACTAAGGGAAAAAATAAGTATAAGCATACTGGACTCTATCAATTGTATATTGTTGTGCAGTTTTGACTTAATTTTTCTGGGTTTTCTTAAATCAAACTAATTCAAAAAAAAAAAAACAACCCTGACCTCTGCCAAGTTGTCTGGTTATCTTCATGCAGTTTTTCCCAGAAGTCAGGGAAGACTCCACCCCTTAATGCTAAGTGAAAATGGTGAAAAAAGATGTACACTTGACTTCACTATTCATGCTCTTACTTTAGAAGAGGTAAATAGAAAAGGTCTCTTCCTCTCATCAGTAACCAATGAAGGGTAGAAGCCTCAAAGGACAAGGAGAAATTAGTTATTTTCAGCTGAACTGTGCCATCCTCATAAATGTTTTCTTGCATGCAGCTGAACAGGCATCAGTGATAAATTGGAGAGAAGCCACATACCCCGTAAACACCTAGCAGCCTCACTAAAGCTGAAGGGAAAAGTCACCACAGAAATCCTCTGCAATTGAGAAGGAATTTTCCCAGTGTTAGCTTGGCCCTGCCGCACAGCTGCATTTCTCTCTTGCACAAGATGTACAACAAAACAGGAACGTGTGTGTGTGTGTTTATGGAAGCTTCCTGAGGGCTGAATCGGAGCCAAGCGAAAGCGTCAGCTCCTCCGGATACACAAACTGCTAAGTTCATCTCCCTCTCTCCTGGTGGGAGAGGTACGTCACCACCTAACCCCAGCAGGCTGCAGGTACTGAATCACTCACCATCCCTAGCCAGCTCCCAGCTGATGAGTACTGTGTGTTTTCATCTTGGGTTTTATGTTTCTAAGTCTCCAGCGTGGCCAGATGGAGAGAGAAGCCTAATAATTGTCCTAAAGAACGAGTTATTTGATAGTAGCACTATTTATATTTCCTAAACCTGTTTGTTTGTTTTTTTTAAATAAAACAGATGGTTCTCAAAAGCAGCAAGATTCCCCCTTTTCCTGAAGTAAATGGCATCCTGTCATTGCCAGCTTTCAGGAGACGTGAGTGTAGTACATGTTTTTTAACAAATGCAACTCAAATGTTGCAGAGGAACTTCTGATGACAATAAACCCACAGGAAGGGCCTTTTTCTCATGTAACAACTTCCTTCCCATAGGAACCAAAAAAATCTTTTACGCTGCATAGTTAGATGTGCAGGTACAATGGAGAATAAAGGAGGCTTTGTCCTCCCTTTGCCATTCCAGAGTCATGTCTGTTTTGTTAGTGAACAAATTCTCAATCACGTTTTTCAGATCATAGAAAATGTTTACCCTACTGACTTTAGTGGGGTGCCAGGAACAGATTGTGCTGGTATTTGTGACTTTTTTTTTTTTTTAGAGGTTTTGTCAATGGGAATTCTGCCTTAAGTAAAAATTAGGCCTTGTATTTTTACAACATGAACTGTTATGTACCCCCTCCTGGTGAAGGGCAGCAAGTGTCAGCACAGCAATAAGGAGAAATATTTTGTTGAGGTCCTGTGGGCAAATTTTATATTCAAATTAAAAGTGCAGACCTGATGCTGAGAATACTGAGTCAGCACCAATGGTTTAGATCAAGGAATAACATCTAAAATACCTTTCCAGATATTTTCCAATACATGCAAATATTAAATGCCTATGTCAAGTGGAACTTAACAGACATAATAGTACTTTGCTTGCCATAGAAAATAGCTGTGAGAATGAGAGCTGGTAAGTGTTAGCAGATCTAATACTGCTTCTTTTTGTTGCCTTTGTTTAAGTATTCACAATGAGGATGAAATGGGGCTGTCTTTTTTGCTAAATATCTGTTGTTTTCCAAGGTATCTGCCTCATGAATGCAGGTAACAAATACTAGTTGCACTTACGATGTTGTTTTTCTGCCAAAACGCTGTTATGTATCTTACAGCAAACAATATCCTAGTGGATCACAGCTGATGTTTTTTTTCCTGCTACAGAAAGCAGGTTTCTCTGTGGGGTTAAGCCTAACAGCAGCTCAGTCAGGGTCATACATCCCACAGTGTACATCCCACAGTCTCTTTACTACCACTAGTCAAGGCCCTGTGCTGATGCAGGACATCATTACTCATTACCCTGCCCTTGCACAGCTACAACAGACGATCAAAGATGATAAGTGGGACGCTTCTCCATATGAGGTTGCTGCAAATCTGACATGAAAAAGTAGGCGCAGAAAGCCTGGAACACAACAATTGATACTATTTACTAATGCATCATGGATTAAGATCCCAGTTTACCAGAACCTCCATAAACACAAAGCAACAAACAATGCTCTTTTTGTCCACAGAAATTACATCCTCGGTGTAAGACCAGAGACAGCAGATGGGAGAGCACCAGGAAACAATGAGATAATGCTGGCCAGTAGGATAAGCATTTGACTGGAGAATTCTGCAGCCAAGTACTAAAAGTGAACCTGAACTGTTACAACCAAAGGATGGTCAGGAACCAGCTCCTCAGCTGCTCTGATGTCACCACTTCATCCTCTCGAGTTGATGTGGGGTACTGTTCTGGAGCGAACGAAAAGTGCAGAGAAACTGAACCAAATCAGTCTGTCATGGCCTGGGTTGTGCGTGACAAAGCAGTAACAGAGCCTGTGGAGATAGCAGTGTAGTCAGTGCTACTGTTTGCTGAACTATGTAAATGAGATCTGATTTGTAAGTGAAGCAGCACTTCACTTTGGCTTGGAACTTACCTGTAATTATTTAAATTAATGATTTTATTTAAATGGCATCTTTTCAAGATTTTCAGGTTTTGACCTAATACCCAGGAAGCAAGAACTGAACGATACCCGTACCAGTGCTGTGAATGGTGTTGTTGTCAAACTTGATTCAAAAAGTGATGCAGCTCACTGTTAGTACTAACCTGCCTGTCATTCAAAGTGATGTCAGTGCCACCGGCTTACTGCTCTAGCCTTAAAAACTGACTGAAGTGAATAGGAAATACTAATGCTGTGAATCGGGGGAAAAAAAGGAGACCCTGGAAAAAGATCAATCCAGACATGAGAAAGGAGCACTAATTTCCTTAAAGGATTATCCCTCATAGAGGATTTTCTCTTTTACAAGGTTGAAAAACTTCCTATCTTTGTTTAAGCTCCATGGGGAGTATTCAGAAAAGCAAACTCTTGGAGAACTGTCTACATGGTCAGCAGGGGCAAGAGGAGGGGCTCTTCCAGGGCCTGATTTTGGGCACCTGTTTCAGCTTCACCTCTGACTCCTCCTTGGTGCATCTATTGACTACAGAGGAACTTGGAAGAGACTAAGCCTTTAAATACTTCTCCCGCCCACCTTCCAGTTCAGCAAAGTACTTAAGCTCATCATCTCCCTGCTTTGACAGTACATTTTAATACACAGCATTGGCACTACTTCAACAACCTGATCTTCCATTGGTGTAACTGCAACGGATATTCTCACATGGCAAGAAAATGCCTAAAGCATGGTTGGCTTCCAAACAAAAAACTGCGGGTTGGTTTAAGGAAAAGAAGGAAAATGCACACGATATTGTGAACAACTCTTTTCTTTAATGCCTTAAAAATATAAAAGCTTTGCCTGCACATAAGACAAAAGAGCAAGTGTTCTGTATGTTTTGACAAAGTATTCTGATCGTTCTCATGTCACAAAACCAAGAACTAATTTAGAAAAAGAGTTCTTACAAGCCTAAATTAGGGGGACATTTGGAGCCCTACAAAGAAAGCAGAAAAAGTTAAACTTTTTTTTTTTTAAAAATACTAGGCTGTGCTACTGTGGACTGGCTTGGTCCCTAATTTTAATGAGAGAGGTGAAATTCTGTAAAGAGCATTCATGTTTAACAATAGTTGTTTAACCCCAGAAATGAAAGAGAAGGGCAAGACGGACAGATGGATACCATTCTGAAAGCTTTGTCAAGCCAAAATAAGATGTATAAGGATGGGTTTTTTAACTACACACACACACACACACACAGTGAGACCTGCCAAAATCTAATTATCTCTGTGCGTTGTATAGTACCTTGCAAAAGGGAAATTCAGTGCTCCAAGGCATTCAGCCTAGAAAGTAACTACTATTAACTAACTCTTCATTAGATTGTGAAGTTCTTACAAAGGTGGCAGACACTCCATATTTGAAACCTCTAATACTGGTCTCGAAAACATAACTGGAAAGTATTAGTAAGGCAGAAGGGCATTTCTGTCCTCAATTATTATTAGTTTCATACAGAGGAAAAAAAAAAAAAAAAAGCTCCTGTTCAGAGTATCTATAACTGAAGATGACTTGGACTCTCCATCACTGTATTGGGCATAAGAACTGTAAAAGCAAAACCTGATTCAAAGTCTAAGTGCCCCAAGATTTTCACATCAAAACTTTGGATATACTCCCATGTTTAAATAACATACTGCCAAGGGTCACTGCAGGTACTATTACTGCTGTCAGTGAAAAAAACTGTACCACTCCTGCGAAAACACACTCACTTATCATTTTCTTGTGTCAAGAACTTCTAGGGCCAACTTTTAAGGTCTTCCTCAGGACGTGAGACGCCTGTAAAATCAGTATGTGTTTCCTCTCCTCAAGCGTCAAAGCTCTACCTTCTTCGTGTGTCTCAGTGACAAGGACTTTCTTCTGCAGATAAAGGCAACAAAAAAAAGGCCGCTGTTTCTATTTCCAGTGGTCATCTCCTTGCACAAAGACACTGATGTAGTATTTCGTATTGGGTTGGCTTATCCAGCTTTGTCGGTCTGACTTCCTATGCTAATGATAACTCTTTAAATAGTCCTCTTTTCTCATCATGTCCCTAGAGACACAAAGATGATTTGCTTCCTGTTCTGAATTTAATTTGATATTTGGGGGAGATGTGAATTTTTTACCCTAACGTGCAGACTTCCACTGGGAGAAATGAGATCTGCGGTGATACAGGGCGCACAGCTTATACCAGTACAGTCTGTATTAGAAGCACAATGTGTAAAGAAAGGCTAAAGGTACAATGCTGTTTTTATTTGGAATAAGAAACTGCCCATGGCAAATATCTGGAGTGAACAAGCTTGGTTCTTGTTCAGTCAAGCGCTCTGAAATCCTATGAGAAATGTTACAGAACTGAAAACATCCTTATCTAGAGGTCCGAGTAACAGGGCTTCCCGATCGCCCTGCTGTCCTTCACTGGGAATCAGAGATGACCTGTTTTACTTGCAGCAGCCACGTGAACATGATCTTTCTAGCTGAATGTTTTGGCTTTGAATCTTTCTGCTTACTTCCTTTGTGAATTCAAAAATCTCAGAAGAATTTCCTATAATATCAATGTGAGTATCATAAGGAATAACCAAAACACATGGATAATGGGATTTTACAGTTTCACACGCCTGTTTATATTTCTGCTTTTCATCTCCGGTGTGCCCCTCAAGATAGATCCTTTCCTTACGTAAACTGTTATGAAGTTTTATAGACTGATTTTCAATTTCCTCTTTGACTCTTAAAACCTGTCTAGCGCCAGACCTACTTCTGGCATTCTCAAGATATACTGTAGTTATCTCACCATCAGTGATGTCAGAAATTACAACATCATAATTTACTAGGAATTTCTTTAAAAAAAAGTATTTCATGTAGTGGTATACATCTGTGTCAAGAACAACCACCTGTTTTTCTCCAGCTGGATCAGGAGTGAAATTACTTGTCTCCATGGAAAGTCTTTGTTGCTGGAGCCTCCTCTTTGGTCTCTGATGGGGCTTATTTTCTTGACTTTTGTCCTTCTCTGAAAGGGATTTTGCTTTTAATAAGAGAAAGTCCTTTAGCAATTTGATTGCTGGAAATGGCCCTTGAACAAAAATATGCCCATTGGACTGCAAATGACCAAAGCTCAAAGCTGTGATGTTCTTTTTAAGTTCTTGTATCAGATCTTCTAGAACAAATTGATCTTTGAAAATAGACATATTGAGGACAGATGTGACAGAGCCGAAGACCTAAAATTTTAAATTACAGAAGTTAAGTAATAGTTAACATTGCAATGGTTGTACAATTAGATAAATAATGAATGAGCTTACATTTTCACAGTAACGGGTTACTTTCAGAGGATAGTATCTGGACAGCCTCTTGTCTTCTAGTCGATGTTCATCCTTCTTTAGAACATTCTCTACAACTACAGAGAAAGTCAGATTCACTTGTTCTACAGTAAGATAATGTGCTGTTGCCAGTCTGATGGCTGGAACACTTCATAGGTGTTTTTTTCTTGATGTTTTCCCTAACCATTTTCCATACAAATAAACAGGCAATTTAATACTCTTGAATATTTAATATTTCATGCATCAGTAAAATTTTTCAGAGGAGAGAGATGGAAGCCTGTCGTCTTAGAATACTAATTGGCAGAGATTTAGTCCCAAAGGCCTGACTATAAAACTCATATCTGTTATGCAGGATATAAATTTATTCCTCAAACCAAACCAAACCAAACAAACAACACTTCGCATGAAGGCTGTTCAGAGTTATGACTGTTTCTGAACAGAAATAAAATCCTAAAACTTGACTGACCAAAAAAGAGGTGTTAGTCTTCCAGATACATAAAGTTCTTGTACCAGTAAGCAATTTGAAATGGTTTGTTTTAAGGTTAACATTCTATGGCTAATTCTTTGGGTGACAACTATGATTTCTATGGTTTATTAATTTAAATACCTTCTGGATCTTCAAAAGTTATATATGCAACTCCTTTTTTCATTGTCGGATATGTTACTTCTTCCACATCTCCACCGTTGTTCTTCGCCATTTGGAAATGAATCACCAGTATATCAGCCATGACATCGTTGTTCAGAAGGCCATCCGGAACACCGGAGATGACAACCGTCCTTGCTGACTTAGCAGCTTGTCCTGTCGCCTGTGTAGAGACATGACACACTGTAAACACAGGTAGTACCAGTGACGTGTTTTACCATTAGCTCATTCTCTCCCATACAGGTCAACCAGATCCGCCCTGACAGCTACTGTGACTTCCATTCCTTTAGCACAAACTACATCCCCGATCAGCAGATAAATTAAGATGACTGCTGAGTCAGATTTTAATTTCAGAGAACGCCAGACTTCCCTCAGGCACACTTACATTACTGTAGAGTAAAAATGGCCTGATTCTGTAAGCAATTTACACCATTTCAGCACCTTCTTAAGTGAGAGCAGTAAAAATTACAACTACATTTAATAGCTTCTCAAATGAAGTGTTCAGTGTCACACTGTCAAGATTCTTTGCTCCACTTTGATTCTAATACTTAGAATTTTAAGAGAATGAAAATTGTTAATTGCATGTTCGGTTCAATAAGGATTGTCATTTCAGAATGGTAGGTCAGATTCAGATAGTCCTTCCTTGTTAAATTTGTGAGAGCTGGGATCTAGCATTATGCTCTGACTCATCTCTCTCCACTTACTAAATGGATAACGTTGTTAAACTGGAAGAACGTAATCCCAGTCATCTGAGATTTGCTGTGCATAAAATAACTAAATACACACATGATTTTCATCAGAACCAAACCTCCCAATGTTGCAAACATGAAACCCATCCTCAGCAGGATTTGCATCTATGGCTTGTAAAGAAAAGCGAATTTTCCTTCCATTCTGTTTACACAGAAATAAACAGTAATACTGCACTGGGAATATCATAACAAAATTACTGAACACTGAGTAAATTTTGTAACACTTCATTGACTTTTTGGAAGAAAGCAAATAGTTTAGTATGTCTGCATAGAAGCATTTGTGGGAACAAACTGTCAGTAACTTCTGAGTGACTGTACTCAAGGTTAATTTTTTTTTCTAAACTCTTTAGACTTCTCTTACAAAGTTTCTTCTGGACCTGTGCTGCACAAAATATTAGGGCCAGCGCAGCAGCTAGAAAGCCTGCAAAATGTGCCATAGGAGACTAATTTTTCATTGACACGCATCCAAACCTTTGTGGACCACTGCTATAGTATTTCTGAAGGGACTGAGGAGAAAGAGTCAATGAGATAGCGTAACCATGCACTGCTTTTAATTCACAGAGACACGAGGCCTTCTTTTATCAGCCATCAAATTTGAAGAGCTGAGAGCTCAAACTATATTAGGTGCTTTTTTTTTCTGATGGTAACGTTCACCGGAATAGCAACTTTCTGTGCTAGTCAGACAGCACCAAGAGAAAACAAACAGGGTGATTCCAAGACGAAGAGTTTTATGCTGAGTTTTCAGTCGCGCTTCACGCAACCAACGTGTCCCCTGCAAGAGCGGGAGCCCTCAGCTGCCAGACGGGACCTCACAACCTTGCCAGCTGGTGTTTCGGAGCAACGCTAGGGTTAGGAAAAAAAGAAGGGAAAAAAAAAGGAAACGCAGGAACGTACAGTTCATTTATGCTGAATCGTTTCTAGGGCGTGCGTTCAGCGGCTGGTGCTGCTGGGTCGAAACGCAGCCCCGCAGCAAGCGCCAAAGTGGAGAGAGGAGCTCCCTCGGTCTAGCGCTGGCTAGGGACATGGGCCCGCGGGCGTTCGCCATCTTCCTGGCACACCGTTTCCATGGAAAAGAGACTCTGGATGTGGGCTTTCGGCTCAGCAGGGGAGCCGAGCAGGCTGCCTGTCCCGCAGCTGCTAACTCCCCCGAGGGCCCTCTGGGGAGCGAGCGTATCCCACACGGCTCTGAAGGAGGCCCAGAGATAACTGAAGAGCTCGGCACTTTGTTAAGCCGTCTAAAGATTAAAAAGGAACATAAGCTAGAGGGTGAATGACGTTGTTGTTGCCGCCAGGACAGTGAAACGCTCCGTAAACACCGAAAAGGCGATTCAAAACAGACAGGAAGACGCCAAGAGATCGCGCCGGTTCACACGCTGCTATAAATAAAAACCTAAAACATCAAGGTAAGCGGGAGGAAAAGCAGACCTGGAGTTAGCACTAAAGAACCGAAAGGCTGAGACAACAGCTGCCGTACGACCCAGGGCGGCTCCAGCCCGCCGCGTCACTTCACCTGAGGAATCGCATGGGGGAAGGGCGGCAACAACGCAGCCGCGCCGCCGCTCGCCACGCGAATATAAAGTTTTTAACAAACTGCGCAAAAGAGACGGGGGCGCCCCGCGCCCCCACACACCCCGCCCGCTTTCCCTTTTTTTGTTTTTTTTTTCTGGCAAAACCAGGCTTTCCGACGCGCCGACGCCCGCCTCCCAGGAGCACCGCGCCTTCTAGACGCTTCCCCTCG